TCCTGTGTATCAACTACCCGTTTCTGCTATAGTCTCTGACGATGGATACGCGAGAGAATCCGAAACGTTAGGCTAATTAAGTTCGTTCGCGACTCGAACTCGTATATTTGCTTGTAGCGGCAAACAGGTTTCTGTTGCGGAAGTAAAAATGAGGCACAAATTGCCACTGTTGTGAAAGTCACTAATCATTGATTATGCCAGACGATATATGCATATGTGAGGCTAGTCATGAACTCCGGCGTAAAATTTAGCAAAACTGAGTGGCAGGTCCAGACGGTATGGGATCGGGTCAGGATAAGAGTTGACCTCCTTGCAAGGGCCTGCAACGATGTCGGATCTTCGATGGCAGAGAGGACGTGTCCAAGCCAGCTCAGTCGTCTTTCTTGGACGGCCTGGGATGTGCTCGAGACGCTGTCGCCAACGGCTTCATTCGGCAGAAAGCCAAAGTACCTCACCCAAAGGATCAGCCCCACGCGACTGTGTTCGAAAAGTGGTCCTCGTGGGTTCTTCAGTCCACGACTGTAGAGTTGAACTAACCGGACAAATATCCCCTAGTACGCCCGGACCTTGGTTCACTTGGCAGGAATGTCGTTCCTGTTGTGGCCTTTTGACAACAACTTTGTTTTGACATGTTTGAAAGTTTATTTTAGTTGACCCAATTGTGAAAAGACTCGCGGCATTCGGCGGAATTCGAAGCCGCATATGAGGGAGGCCTTTTACGCAGGCCAACGCCCTACCTACTTGAGCTACGAATGTCGCGCTTCACACCGTGGGTTTAATCCCACTTGTTAGTTTAATTCTCCAAGCTAACAGATACTAATTACGAGGGGTGCCTTCATGTGGTCTGAGGTGGAAGCTTGGTCTTCGCAATGTTGTTGAATAAACTTACTGATTTGGCGACCACACTCACCCGAGGCATTATAATGCTGCAAATAATCCTAACGTGCGAGCGAGCGAGCGAGCATCTGTTCTCAACGCTATGTTAGTCTTTTGCGCAAAGGGCCACTCTCCCTATCAATATCAGAAGGCGTTAATCGCCACAAGGGACTGCGTACACAAGTCATTTACGTGTGCTATTGAAAATAAAATATTAAAATTGCATTCTATTTGCAAAACGGTGATTACGACTGGGAATTCTACCGCTCGGCGTTATCAGTCAGGCGTATGAAGATGAGTTACTTAAGTGGTGTCGGGGGAAGGATAGACATTACTTCGTTGGTTTTAAACATTAGCATGCAACTTATTCTTTTTGGAAGTACCCGGATAAAAGTACCAATAAGGTCATGATGCATTGTGCTTGAAAGACCATTGGTTTTTACTGTGAACAGTTTCGAATAAATCTCCTTCGGGATCGCGAAATTCGATGTTATGCCAATAAAAATGGTGGTATGAATTGCTAATCCAAGCAAACATGCGAGTCTCAGGAAGTGATTGAGAAGCAGAAGACAACTCGATCGCTGGGACACTATGTTTATTTGCCTGACGTTTCGAAATCCGTCGCGGATTCATCTTCAGAGACATACTCACAGAACAGTAGCAGAAACAGTTTTTGTGTGCACAGGGTTCCGCCGTAACAGAAAAAAATTGATAAATGCGCTGAGTGTTCTGATTTGTCGCGTCAGCCATGACCATCTCGCCTTGCGGTGTTGGCATAAGATGGTGTAGTGGCCCCCCTGTTCTCCGTACGGCGATTTGCTTTGACCAAATTTAGTCTCAACACCGAATATGGATTGGGTAAATCGTTGCGTTTGTTGGTGGATTAGGGGCCCGTGAACCATGGTATAAATAAAAATCTGGCCGTGCAAAATGAGGATAGTCAATAGCACAGTGTCTGCCGGCATTTTAAAGGAGGCCTTGGGTTATAATAACACTCGCCTTTTAGTAAAGGTGACTACATTTCAAGTCTGTTCTATTGAAGGAAACAAAATCAGGTTTGGGTGAAATTGGGCATTTGCAGATATCTAGCTTAAAAACTGCTTTCTGTGCATGCGGTTATGAAAAAAAATTGGACAAGTAAGAAAAAAATCGAATTTAATCTTTCCTGGAATCCACAAAATTGTAATCTGATGCTGCTGAAATTCAGCGGACAACCTGGTGAAACGGATTAGCTGTTGGCAGTAGTGTTCAATCCAGGAAGCAGCCGGGGTTATGCAGCCTTATCAGTTGGATTTCCGTGATGGCATAGCACCTCAGGTCGACTTCCATCGAGAGCGTCACTGTACACCAAAAATGACACAACGAATGGGCTGCCTTACTGGTGCCCCCAGTTCCTATAACTAGACTTCAGAAAAAAAGTCATTCACATCTCCAAATACTGAAGGATGGCCTAGACCATGTATCAACAAGGTCGTCAGCAAATGGCCTTTTACTTAACAAGCGAAAGTCAGTCCAGTGTATTTTTCGACTGCGACCCTCTCC